TTGTTTTGTAGAGGAAGTGTAATGGGTTGAGAAAATTATGCACTTTCGTATTTCTAGTTCTTTTATATTTCTTCAAGGATTCAGGAAGCCATTTTAAAAGCTACCATAATAAAGATATTTCTACCTCCTCTACCCCCATGGTCATTAAAGAATAGTTATAAAAGAACAATGGGGCTACTAAAAACCCAAAAGCATATAATAAAGTTATCAATGTTATATAAGTTACGGCAATATCTGGACTGCTGAAACAGAAATTGAAAGGCAACTGAGCCCTGGCCGGTTTGGCTCAGCGGTTAGAGCGTCGGCCTGCGGTCCGGAGAGACCCGGGTTCGGTTCCCGCTAAGGGCATGTACTTCGGTTGCAGTTTGTCCCCGGCCCTGGTTGGTCGTGCGGGTGGCAGCCACTCGATGTGTCCCTTCACATCGATGTTTCTCTCTCTCCCTTCCTCTCTCTGTACAAAAAATGGAAAAATATCCTCGGGTGAGGATAAAAAAAAAAAAAAAAAAAGAAAGGCAACTGAGCAAAAGTACACTGGATGAGGAGGGAGCAGAGAGAAATGCTATTCCTGTTTTGCTATTATCAAGCTCTCATGCTCTGGGCAATTTACAACTTCTTTGGGGCATCTGTATAATGGATTGGGGGAATGGGTTTTAGCTGAATGATTTAAAAATTCTTTCTAGTTTTAAAAAATGTGTGCAAATTAGGGAAAGGAGTTTTAGAAAATAAAAAGTATGACTTATGTCAATGATACTGACTTCTTGTGAGAATTAGGCTTATGTTTTTAAATACATGGTACAGTGCATACTCTTTATTTGCAGGAACATTCTAAATGATGGTGATGGTCACAAATCATTGATCATTGGTCATTGATTGACACTGATGTACATTGGTACATTGGGGGAGAAAAAGTGATCCTAGAGAACTTGGACTCCCACTGTGCCACAGTATTCAAATTTAGAGTCTAACATTCTTTTTGGTTATTTGTGGTGATTAATAAGATGGTTGTAAGCTGCTTCCTCCTGTGGGTTTAGTAGGTTGAAAGATGGCGGATTGCACCAAGGAATAACTGCCTTTATGAGCTGGTGGAAAGGAGGCTCTCAAAGGATTCAGTTTACTGCAGATGGTGATGTTCAGGCATAGCATTTTAATAATATATAACCCAGAATTAGAGTAAGACTGTTCCTTCATAAATTAGAAATGGCATGATTTTGAATGAGAAAGAGTGTTTATATGTGAAAGGGTAATTGTAAAATTGTCATAGTGTTGCAATTTCATGTGTTCATTGTTCTTTAATTTTGTTTCTCCTTATTTATTTATTTATACCTTTGCTGTTGAAAGTATTACAGATATCCCTCCTTTTTCCCCCCATTGACTCCTTCTCCCCGCTCCCACCCCCCTCCTGCCTTCCCCCTGTTGCCTTGTCCATTGGTTATGCATATATACATATATGTTCTTTGGTTTCTCTCTTCCTGCCTGCTCCCTTTCAGGTTTATTAGTCTGTTCCCTACTTCCATGTCTCTGGATCTATTTTGATCGTCAGCTCATTTTGTTCATGATATTCCATAAATAAGTGAGATCATATGGCACTTTCTCTCTCATTGGCTTTATTTCACTTAGCAGAATACTCTGCAGTTTCCTCCATGTCATCTCAAAGGATAAGAGATCTTTCTTTCTTACAGCTGCATAGTACTCCATTGTCTATATGTACCACAGCTTTTTTATCCACTCATCTACTGATAGATACTTGGGCTGTTTCCAGATCTTAGCAGTTGTAAATAGTGCTGCTATGAGCATAGGGATGCATATATTCTTTCTGATTGGTGTTTGAGGCTTCTTAGGATTAGTCCTAGAAGTGGGATCACTGGGTCAAATGGCAGTTCAATTTTTAATTTTTTGAGGAAACACCGTATTGTGTTAAATTAAGTGGCTGCACCAGTCTTCTTTAATTTCTTAATTTGCTACATCAATTTTGTTGGAAATAATGCTGTGGGAAGCTGTCTTGATTAAAATAAATTTTAATTATTGATTTTTAAATGAATGACCTTCTTTTCTATGATTAAACAAAGTGTATGCTATTTTTTCTTAAATCTTAAATTATTCCTGAAAATGGTATTTGAAAGCTATAAATGTATAATGACTTGTATGAATAGTTGAAATTTTTAAAAAACTTAACAACAAAAGCCAAGCAAGGTTTCTAATTTTTATTTTAAAATTGAAAACTCATTAGTACCAAGATGGCAGCGTAGGAAAACGCTCCTCCCACAACCACATCAAAATTACAACTAAACTACAACACAACCGTCATTCAGAACCACCTGAAATCGAGCTGAATGGAAGTCTTACAGCTACAAAATTAAAGAAGAAGCCACATCCAGACTGGTAGGAGGGGCAGAGGCGCGGTCAGGCTGGTCCCACACCCATGTGTGGTGGATAAAAATCAGGAGGGATACCTCGACTAGGAAGGTCTTCCCTGAGGAGCAAGGGGTCCTCGTCCCACACCAGGCTCCCAGCTCAGGGTTCCAGTGCCAGGAGAGAAGCCCCCATCACTTCTGGCTGTAAAAACTAGCAGGAACTGAGGCTGAGGCTGCTAGAGCCCCAGGCAGCTCCTTTTAAAGGGCCCGAGCACGGTCTTACTTGGACTGGGCTCCTCTGAGCTCCAACACAGAGGGGAGGCAGCTTAAAAGGCACCAGAGACATATGGGGAAGAACTGAATTGTTTGGCATTGGGGTGAGGACTTGAGAGGCAGCTTTCTTCTGGAGAGACATGCTGGTGAGCACTTCCTCCACAGGGCATGCAGCTGGCGCCATATCTGGGACTCCAGCAACCTGGCTCTTGCTGTTTGCCCCACACTGGTGGTTCTCTGAGGCCCTGCCCCACTCAACTTTCAGGCCCACCCAAGCTGTTTCTAGTGGCTTTACCATAGGATTGGCCTGTTTTGGCTCCTGCTTCAGATTTTCCTAAATTCTCTCCAACAAGCAGCATCTGGCAAGAGTGAGCCCATACTTCTCACTAAGTGGCCCCTGGCCCAGCACTAAAAATAGCCAGCTTTGGTTCGCAGCTTGGCTTCGCCTGGCCACCTCCAAACCCAGCACAAGAAGCAGCCATCAGTAGATCACGTTGTAGCTTATGCCTGGTGGCCCCAGGTAGAACACAGGTAGAGGCTGACCTTGCCCCAGAGCCAGCGCACCCAGTGGACAGCGTCAGACTACATCGAAGCACCACCACCCAACCACCTCCACAAGTGACACACTCAAGGAATGGACTCAAGGGGTACCAGAGCAATGCTGAAGTCAATCTTGCTTTATGTGGTAGGCCCCTGCATAGCTGATCATCCAAGCTAGTCAGAGGTTGGTAGTTAGTGGGCACAGCCAGTCCTTGCAGCTGATCAGCCTGAATAAAATCCTTGCATTGACGTGCCAACAGCAGTTAAGACTCAAATCACAACAGAAGCGTGTACAGTCCACATGAGGGGTGCACCTTGAGGGTCCAGCTGGGTGATCAGGGAGGCTGTGCCACTGGACCTTACAGAACACCTACTATAATAGACCACCCCATGAAGCCTAGGAAACATAGCAAGTCTACCTAATATATAGAAACAAACACAGGGAGGCGGCCAAAATAAGGAGACAAACTTGTCCCAAATGAAAGCACAGAACACAAATCTAGGAATATAACTAAACGAAATGAATATAAGCAATCTAACAGATGCATAGTTCAAAACACTGCTTATAAGGATGCTCAATGAACTTAGTGAGAATTTCAAGGAACTTTGTGAGGACCTCAAGAGCATAATGAAGGACCAGTCAAAAATGAAGGATGCACTAACTGAATTAAAGAGTCATTTATAGGGAGTCAGTAGTAGAGTAGGTGAAGCCAAGAAGCAAACCATTGATTCGAAATATAAGGAAGCAAAAAACACCCAATCAGAACAGCAAAAAGAAAAAAGAATCCAAAAAAATGAGGATAGTATAAGGAGCCTGTGCGACAACTTCAAGCGTACCAACATTCACATCATGGAAGTGCCAGAAGGAGAAGAGAGAGGGCAAGAAATTGAAAACCTATTTGAAAAACTAATGACAGAAAACTTCCCTAACTTGGTGAACGAAACAGACATACAAGTACAAGAAGCACTGAGAGTCCCAAACAAGATGAACACAAAGAGGTCCACACCAAGATACATCATCAACAAAATACAAAAGGTTAAAGACAAAGAGAGAATGTTAAAAGCAACAAGAGAAAAGCAGTTGGTTACCTATAACGGAGCGCTCATAAGGCTGTCAGCCGATTTCTCAAAAGAAACTTTGCAGGCCAAGAGGGAGTGGCAAGACATATTTAAAGTGATGAAAAGCAAGGACCTACAACCAAGATTATTTTATTCTGCAAACCTATCATTTAGAATTGATGGACATATCAAGAGTTTCCCAGATAAGAACAAGCTAAAGGAGTTCATCACCACCAAACCAGTATTATGTGAAATGTTGACGAGTCTTCTTAAAGAAGAAGATAAAAAAATATGAACAATAAAATGGTCATAAATACATATCTATCAACAATTGAATCTACAAACAAAGTGAGCAAGCAGAACAGAAACAGACTCATTGATATGGAGAACTTTTTGTTGGTTTTCAGATGAGAGGGGAGTTGGATAAAAAAGGTGAAGGGATTAGGAAGCACAAATTGGTTGTTAGACTGATGAACCTCAAAGGGAAGGGGGGATGTGGGGCAGGAAGAGAGAAACCAAAGAACTTATATGCATATATGCATAACCAATAGACACAGACAATAGTGTGAGGAAAGCAGGAGGGTGGTGGGATTGGGGAGCAGGAGGTTAAGGGGGGGAAAAGGAGGGACATCTGTAATACATTCAACAATAAAGTTTAAAAAAAAAAGAAAACTCAATAAATGTTTCAAGTCGACAGGCCATTCAACTGATGATCAAGTACAATGATAATTTGTTATAATGATAATTTGTTATAATTTGTTACAATTCTTTCTACAGGTTTTATTGAAAACTACAGCTGGAGATATCGATATAGAGTTGTGGTCAAAAGAAGCTCCTAAAGCTTGCAGAAATTTCATTCAGCTTTGTTTGGAAGGTAATCATAACTCCTGAGTTTTATTCTGTGGGAGCAATTTTGTTAATTTAAAAATAAACTGCAGTGTATTTTTCTACAGTGTCAAAGAGTGGTATTAAATAGAGGTAATGAATGATAGGAGTTGATATGAATGATATGGTGTTATGTTTCAGGAAATAGAGAGCGTAGATAAAAAAAATTTCCCCCCATTAGATCGATCTATCTATATATATATATTATTATTTTTTTTTAATGAAAAAAATTTTTTCTTTTTTTTTTTATAGAGAGGAAGGGAGAGGGAGAGAGAGACAGAGACATCAATGAGAGAGAAACATCAGTTGGCCACCTCCTGCATGCTCCCCACTGGGGTTTTGGCCCACAACCTGGCATGTGCCCTGACTGGGAATCAAACCGGTGACCTCCTGGTGTATGGGTTGACACTCAACCACTGAGCCACACCAGCTGGGTAAATCTATATATCTTTAACAGAGAAATTTATCTTACCAAATGATACATTAGTCCTTTTTGGTCTCCTTGGCTATTTTCCACTTCTTTTGTTTTCATCCTCTAAATATGGGTATTCACTAAATTTGCTTCAAGTTTTCTATTGTCTTTATACTCTTCAGTTGTTACTTTATCCAAATGATTTTCCATTGATTTTAGACTGAGTAGAAGGGAGAGAGGGAGGGAGTAAAGGAGGGTAAGAGAGAGAAAGAGAGGAACATTGATGTGAGAGAGACAAATTGATTGGTTGCCTCCCACATGACCCTAACCAGGGCTGGGGATTGAACCTGCAACTCAGGTATGTGCCCTTGACTGGAATCAATCCTGAGACCCTTCAGTCCATGGGCTCACACTCTGACCGATGAGCCAAACTGGCTAGGGCTCCAACTTTATTTCTTTTTTTTTTTTAATCCTCACCCGAGGACATTTTTCCATTTTTTGTTCAGGTAGAGTGGGAGGGAGAGAGAGGAACAGAGAGAGAGAGAGAAACATCGACGTGAAAGGAACACATCGAGTGGCTGCCACCCGCACAACTGACCAGGGCCGGGGACAAACTGCAACCAAGGTACGTGCCCTTAGCGGGAACCGAACCTGGGTCTCTCAGGACCGCAGGCCGACGCTCTAACCGCTGAGCCAAACCGGCCAGGGCCCAACTTTATTTCTTTATATTTATGTATTTATTTATTTATTGGTTAATCCTCACCTGAGGATATTTTTCCATTGATTGTTTTTTGTTTTTTTTTTTTAGATAGAGAGGAAGGGAGGGAGAGAGAGAGAGAGAAACATTGATGTGAGCGGCACACATTGACCGATTGCCTCCTGCAGGGCCCTGACCAGGGCTGGGGACTGAACCACAACTGAGGTGTGTGCCCTTGACCAGAATTAAACCCGTGACTTTTTAATCTGCAGGCTGACGCTCTAACCACTGAGCCAAATCAGCCAGGGCCCGACTTTATTTTGATTGCACTAAATAACTGCATGGTTTTAGTTGATTATCTTTATCCCCTGATCAGTTCCTTCTCATTTTCACTTTCACATGTATCCTCATACCTCCTTCATATCCTTAGTCTCCTCATATCCTCTATTTTCTTTTTGGAATACTTTCTTTTCCCTTTTTACTGATTAAGTGTACCTACTTTTAATGTCTGTTCAAAATTATACTTTCTCCATGAAGCCTTTCATTCAGCATTCAGTGATGTTATCAATGTCTAGTATTTTTTTTTATATTTGAGTCATGAAATGACTATTTTTCTTTATCTTTTTTTTTGCATTTATCTTCCGATAGAGGAGGAGGGAGAGAGGAAGGAAGAGAGAGAGAGAAACATCGAAGTGAGAGAGACACATTGATTGGTTGCCACCGCACAACCCCAGCTGGAGCTGGGGACAAACTGCAACCGAGGTACATACCCTTAGTGCGAATCGAACCCAGGACTCCCCAGCCTGCAAGCCAACGCTCCAACTGCTGAGCCAAACCGGCCAGGGCTCTTGGCTCTTTTTTTAAAAAATGTTTTTGTTGATTTTTTTTAAAGAGAGAGGAAGGGAGAGAGAGATAGAAATGTTGATGTGAGAAAGAAATATCAATTGGTTGCCTCCTGAACGCCCCCAACTGGGGATCAAGCCTGCAACCCAGGTCCACACCTTGATCAGGAATCAAACTGGGACCTCTCAGTCCATGGGTCGATGCTCAATCCTGTGAACCATACTGGCTGGACTCTTTTTCTTTATTAAATCGTCACCCAAGGATATGTTTAGTGATTTTAGAGAGAGGAAGGGAGAGGGGGGAGAGAGAGAGAAAGAGAGAAACATTGATGTGAGAGAGAAACATTGATCAGTTGTTTCCCATGCATGCCCAACTGGGGATTGAACCTGCAACCTCTCAGTGTATGGGACAATACTCCAACCAACTAAGCCAGGCACTATTTTTCTTTTTAACAAACTAACCTGAATTACACATTCACTTGAATGTTTTCCCCTTCAGAATATTTCCTTATAAAACTAAACACTTCATATATTTTGGTAAATTGTTGGCATTTAGAATACATTGCATATGTATTTGAATATCTCGAGTCATGGCAAATCATTGTCCTAAGTTATATCTGATTTTTAGAGACGGACAAGGTTAAGTAAGGTTCAGAAAATGGCATTTAAATTAAAAGCAAGGTGTGAAAGAGAATCCAAAATATCTAATAGAAGGGTACACAGAGAGTCCTTTCAGTAGATAATTAGAGCAATACATGATTACCAGGGAAGATTTAAGGAATAAATATACCCAGACCCAAAAAAAAGCTGCCAGAAAAGAAAAAAAAGACATCTGCAAAGGCCATTATTAATAATTGCTATGGCAGGCAGGAAGGAAATGGAGTCAGACAGGTAGTTCAGTCAGAGAAGCCTCAAATAACTGTCAACAGAGTCAAGAAACACAGTAGACACAGAAGAGTCAGACTTGTTTCTGGAAAGAAGTTTTGAAGAATTTAAAGCTCAAATTTTACAGTAGAAGAGTGAAAGTCCAAAACCATTAGAAAGAATGAATGGTAAATTACAATCCAGGACCAACTGAATGGAAGAAACAGAAAACACCCGGATACAATATGACAATAAAGAAGAAATAGTTTCTTAAATTAGGTGATGATGAAGCTTAATTACAGCAGTAAGAAATTATTTCCCTATTTCTAAAAATACAAGAAGAAGAAAAGAATAGAAAAATAATAAGAAAAATAACCAGAGCAATTCTCTTCATTGAACAGGTGAGAGAGAATTATCATCGCAAAGGGGCCTGAGCAGATTAATTTAAATAAAGATATTCCTAAATGAATAAAGTCAAGGTTTTAAGAATTTAATTCAGAGAACTCCATTTTAATTCTCTATATCTGATTTGCTTGTTTATTTATGATTTATTAACAAGTCATAATATTTCTAGATCTTGTAACATTCGTGGCAGTATTTCTTTTTCCAAGCGTAGTTTCCATAATTAAAAGGCAAATGAATGAAAACGAGAAATGGGGAGCACAGCCTCAGGTGTGGCTCTCAACTCACATGGTATTCACAGTCAAAGGGAAGTTCTGAGTTTTTTATTTTTCAACTTTATTAGGTACAGTTGATAAAACTGTATATATTTAGGTTTACAACATGATTTTTTAAAGGTATACAATGTGATGATTTAATATACATATACATTGTGAAATGATTGCTATAATGAAGTTTAGTAACATATCCATTACATCACATAGTTACCGTTTTACTTATTTATCTTTTTGTGATAAGAAGAATTGAATCTACTCTCTTAGCAAATTTCAAGTATTCAATACAGTGATATTAACTGTATTCACCATGCTGTACATTGGACCCCCAGAACTTATTCATCATATAAAGGAAAATTTGTACCTTTTGGCCAACATCTCATTTCCCCCCACCCGCTGGCAACCACCATTCTGCTCTCTGGTTCTATGAGTTCAACTGTTTTAGACACTACATAGAAGTGAGATCATACAGTATTTGTCTTTCTGTGTCTGGGAGAATTTTTTTAGTTTTTAGTTTTGTTTAGAAAACAAAAGATCTACAATGACAAAGACTTAATATTGGATTATAGGTCTTTGCAGCATAGGTGAACATTTAAAAATGAGTGAAAATTTTAAATAATTCTAACTTTAAAAAATAGGTGAAAAAAGATATGAGAAGGGAAAGGAAGCTTTTTAGCTTTGATAATTTTATTCCTCTAAGCATGAAGAAGGAGTAAAATTTTAGGTCTGTAAAACAGAGGAGAGAGCAGAAAGAAGCAGATAAGAAAACCAAAAAAAAAAATATATATATATATATTTTTTTTTTACTTTATGTGATTATTTATCTCTTTGTTTCTATTTACCTCAACCTTCTCTCTTCAAGTTCATACCTCATCAGTTATCTTTTCTTTTTTAAATTGCCTAACTTATTTTATTAAAATAAAAATCACAGATCATAAGTAACATACACAATGTCCCTTTCACCATTTAAGTAAGGTACTTTGATTTTATATAAATATTCTCATGTTTTCAAGGTAACAGTATCTGAGAATGAGGCATACAGTGGTGGGCAAAAGTAGGTTTACAGTTGTGAGTATACAAAACACAATTCTGGTAGTTTAATAACTCTTTAGAAGTGACAAACATAAGTATATATTAAGATGTTAAAAGAACTATCTTTACAAAACTAAAATATTTGTTAAAAAAAAAAAAAAAAAAAGACTAAGCTCTGGCCGGTTTGGTTCATTGATGTAAGAGAGTGTCGGCCTGCGGACCAGAGAGTCCAGGGTTCGGTTCCCACTAAGGGCACGTACCTTGGTTGCAGTTCGTCCCACCCCAGTTGGCAACCACTCAGCGTGTCTCTCTTGTACTGATGTTTCTCTCTCTCTCTTGCCCCTTCTCTCCTCCCGCTATATCTGAAGATAAAAGCAAAAATGTCCTTGGATGAGGATAAAAGAGAGAGAGAGAGAGAGAGAGAGAGAGAGAGAGAGAGAGAGAGAGAGACTAAAATAAATGGGGCAGACAAATCACAAAAGGAATTTTTGAATAGAGTTATTCATGATAATATCTACAAAATTAAACAGAAAACACAAGATTCTAGAAGACACATGAATGTTTTAAAAATGCAAATATATACCCTGGCCAGTTTTGCTCAATGGTTAGAGTGTCAGCCTGCGGACCAGAGAGTCCTGGGTTCAGTTCCCACTAAGGCATGTACCTCGATTGCAGTTTGTCCCTGGCCCCAGTTGGGGTCGTGTGGGTGGCAACCACTCTGTGTGTCTCTCTTGCATCGATGTTGCTCTCTCTCTCTCTTCTTCCCTTTCTCCCTCCTGTTCTATTTGAAGATAAATGCAAAGATGTCCTCAGGTGAGGATTAAAAAAAATGCAAATATAAATTTCTATATGTACATGGGCAAAAATATAGTCAAAATATATATTGATACCCATTCATTGCACAGCCAGAAATAAAAACTATAATGACTAATACCAGAACAGCCACTTTGGAACTTCATTTTATATTTGAGAAATGTGTAAATTTCTTTTTTCAATAGTGAAGAAAATTCTGGAGGATATTATGAACATGCATAATGAAATAATGAAACCTCTTTCTTTAAAATATTTATGGGAATGGTTCATGCAATTAAGAAGAAAGTCAACAGCAAGCAGCAAAATCTATTATAGTACATGATAGTCTATAAAAACAGCTGTAAATGCATAATTTAACTGATTAATAATAAATTGCAAAGAAATAGAAAACTATAAATGCATAGTTCAACCATGATTATTAATAAATTGCAAGGAAGTAAAATTAGTGGATATGGAAATTTTGTGGATATTTGAAATTCTAGCTGTTACCGGAAAAATTTAGAGATGGTCTTTTTTCATCGCTAGTGGGAGTGGGGTTCTTATGATTCTCAAGAAAAAGAATTTACTGAGACTCACAAGGGAGAATGAGTGATTTTTGTTTGTCTGGAATTACATCTCTTGGTTTATAAAGTTCCATTTCCCTTAATCCAGTCCAGTTAAATGTGCAGCTGGGGATTCAGCAGAGCTAGAAGCAAAGTCACTGTCCAGAGTTTCCATTCCATGGTGGAGCTGGGTCCAGTACAGCATTAGGCTAATTAGAGTTCATCAGTCCATTGTGTGGGATCCACATGGCTGTGAGCCACATGGGTGAATGCAGGGGAGCCAAGAGAATGCACCTCCGGCAACAAGAGTCCCAAGAGAGCAAAGAGAGAGAACTCCCTTGTTTAGGAGTTTAAGTATCTCAAATCTTCCTCATGCTTGCAGTGGCCACACCTACTCTGGCCAATGACCTGTTCCCAAGTGTGACTGATAGGCAACTACCTCCCCCTTTTCACCCAAACTTTACTGGTATGCATCTATTCTTCCCCTGTCCAGTCCCTTCCACCAGAAATCTGCTGGGAATAGATGGGTCCTTTGCAGCTTCCTGGCAGAACTGCACAAATGAATGCCCATAATATTTGACCTTCCCCTTGCTCCTTTCCTGTTATTTATAACTAGTTAGTCACAATGGTATTGTAGCCATCAATACAAAATTATGATATAGAGAACTTGTAGAAAATTCCTACCCAATATATCTATCTATCTATCTATCTATATATATATAATAATCATAATTTTATCCATCCAACAAGAATATAATTAGGAAAATAAAAAGGAAAAGCTTCAAGTAAAAAGCCATCATCACTGAAAGACTTAATAAGAAATAGAAAAGAAAAGGGTAGGTAATTTTAAACTTTGAAAGCACAAGTAATAAAGAGCTCTTTTATGTCCCCCTTCCCTCACATCTAATAGTTCTCTGAGTCTTATCAATCTGCTTCCTAGAGAATTCTTGAGTCTGTTCAAGAAAGTTTTGACCCTTGGAACAGCTCTCTCATTCTCTCTTTGTTTCATCACTTCCCATCCAGTCTCCATTCTGTAAGTTTGAGTGATGTTTTGATAAAGCATATCTGATTTTGTGCTAAAAAAATGTTGATTGAGTACATATGATGGACCTGAGGGTTTATCTTTATTTTCTGATATAGACTGGAATGTGTTTTATATTCAGATTTGAATCGGAATTTGTAGAATTTAAGTAAAAATATGGAAGTTTGACATCACATTTGAGTTGAACGTGAAAGCTTGTGGGTTGACTACATTATTTAATCTTCAGAACAACTCTGAGTTAATTTATATTAGTAGTTTTTTAATGAGAAAATTACATGAAGAGCATAGTGAATGTTATTAATACTGTATTGCATATTTAGAAATTGCTAAAAGAGTAGTTCTTAAAAGTTCTCATCACAAGAAAAAAATTCAAACTATAGTGACAGATATTAACTAGATATTGTCATTCGTGATCATTTAATAATATTGAATAAGTATCTAATCATTATGTTGTATACCTGAAACTAAATAATGTTGTATGTTGATTGAATCTCAATAAAAAAAGAAAGAAAAAAAAATTGAATTTGTTGTACAGCTAATAAGAAGCAAACCTCAGAACTCCTAACTTCTACATACAGTTAATCCAAGTAAATGGTTACTTAGGGACACAGGAGAGATACTTTTACACCTCTTGGTTTTTACAATTTCTATTTGTAACTAAGGAGAACTTGTCTGCACTGGAGAAGCTCTTGTGAATGTAGACCAACAGCTCTTCACTGGGAAAGGGAATTGAAAAAAATAAGTTGATCTTCCTTTCAACTTCTTCCAATCCTTCCTAAGTACTGGATAAAATTGTTAGATTACAGAATACATTATTTATTTATTTTTATTTTAGATAGGGTGGAAGCGAGGGAGGGAGAGAGAGAGAGAGAAACATCGATGTGAGAGAGACCCATGAATTGGTTGCCTCCCACATGACCCCGACTGGGGCTGGAGATAGAACTTGCAACCCAGGTACATCCCCTTGACCAGAACTCAAACCCATGATCCTTCAGCCTGAGGGCTAAAGCCCTAACCACTGAGCAAAACTGGCCAGGGCCAGAATACATTTTTTGAAATATGGATTTTTATATCCATCAATATCTTACAAATGTAAGCCAGCAAACCACTGTACTATAGTACTTTATGAATTTGATAAACCATAGTCTTGTTTTGACCCTAAAGTATCACAAAGTACCTATGTAATAACTACTTTATGACTTATGTCAGTAATTACATCATTACAATTTTTCCACAGTGACTATGCCATTTTACAACCCATCTAGCAATATTGGAGGATTCTAGTTTCTCCACCTCCTCACTAACACTTATTTTCCCTTTTTTTTCTATTCTTACCTGAGGACATTTTTCCATTTTTTGTTCAAATAGAGTGGGAGGGAGAGAGAGGAAGTGAGAGACAGAGAGAAACATCGACATGAAAGGGACACATTGAGTGGCTGCCTCCCACACAACCCCAAGCGGGGCAGGGGACAAACTGCAACCAAGGTACGTGCCCTTAGCGGAAACCGAAACTGGGACTCTCTGGACCGTGGGCCGACACTTTAACCTCTGAGCCAAACTGGCCAGGGCTCCATTTTTTTTTATTGATAGCCACTCTAGTTGGTGTAAAGGAGTACTTCGTTATAGTTTTGCTATATATTACCCTAATGAGTAAAAATGTTGAGAATCTTGTCTTATGCATATTGGCCCTTGTTGTTATTTATTACTTCTCTGATTCGTCAAACCCTACTTCTTGCCCTTCCACCCACATCAAATGCTTGGCTTATGCTTGACCTCATTCAGCTCTCCTGATTCTTCTCTCTTCTGTGAAGTCTCCCTAATGATTCTAGGTTCCAGATGGTAACTATTATATTATATATGATCCTCTTGTATGTTTATGATTTCCAAATAGTATATTTTTATATAAATATAAAGAATTTCTTTCAATCATTTAACAAGCTTATTGAGAGTTTAATTGGACTCAGTTATATATTGTGTTGATTATTTATTTATTGAAAGTTTCTTGAGGAGTGCATTGATGATGCTGGCCTATAATCGAGTAATTTTGATATATTTTTGGTTTATATATTATTTATGTAAATTAATTTTTCTTTTTTTCCTCCAATTTTTATTAACTTATTTTTGTTACAGATGTTTCTCCTTTTCCCCCCCTAAACCCCCTCCTCCCCATCCTCCCTCCCCAGCATTGTTGTCTATGTCCATTGGTTGTGCATACATGCATATATGTAAATTAATTTTCTAAAGGGAGAAAAGTTAAAAACAGGAAATAAGGCTTTGAATCTCTATTAGGATTTCTCCCTCTCAGCACTGTTGACATTTTGGGCAGTAATTCTTTGTTGTGGTGACTACACTGCATCTCCCACGTGTGACAGCCATATACTTCTAGATATTCTAGATATTGACAAATATCCCCTGGGGTACAAAATTGTTGTTGTTTTTTTCTCACATCCCCCACCAGTCGAAAACTGTAATCCAGAGTTTGAGAGAATCTTTGAAATAAGTAAAAAAAAAAAAAATAACCAGTATGTTTGTGTAGAAATTATGCTATTTTGAGAATATATTTTATGATAAGTAGAGAAGAAGAGGTTTTGGTTTAAGAGGCTATTTAACATTCGGGGCGGGGGTTATCTTATGACTCTAGTTGTATTAACTCTGGTAACTATAAACTTTGTTTTAGACTTTGATAATTTTTTTTTTCAGCATATTATGACAAGACCATTTTTCATAGAGTTGTACCTGGTTTTATAGTCCAAGGGGGAGATCCTACTGGCACAGGAACTGGTGGAGAGTCTGTCTATGGAGCCCCGTTCAAGGTGAGACCTAACTTATTATTGTTATTATTTATTTGCAAGTCAGCTAGGATTTCTTAATTGAAAATGATTATGCCCCACAAGAAGAAAATGCATTTCACATTAGTGCACAAAACCAGGTGTCTGTCACATATTTAGAATTACACAGGTATAAGAACAGCATTTACCCTATCAAGTGTTCTTTCTAAGTTGCCTTATCACAAACTTTTATACTAGATTGAATTTAGGTGGAGATAAAGGTGAGTATCTGCCTGTATCTGATCTCTGCATCTCTGTAAATGTAAAACATTTTTAGAACATTGCATATTCCATTCCATTTTAAAACATTTTATTTAATACTATATGAACTTTGTATTAATCTGCTTGGATCTATAACAAAATACCACTGACTGGGTGGCTTAAACGACAGTAATTTGTTTCCTACAATTCTTGAGGCTAGGAAGTCGAAGATCAAGGTGCTGGCATTCAGTTCCTGGTGAAGGTTCTTTTCCAGGCTTGCAGATATTGGCCTTATTGATGTGTTTTCACATGGTTGAGAGGGAGAGCATGTTCTGGTGTCTCTTCCTCTTCTTATAAAGACATCAGCCCTAATGGATTAGGACTTTGTTCTTAGGACCTTCTTTAACCATCATCATCTTCTTAAGTCCCTATCTCAGTATAGTAATACTGGGGATTAGAGCTTCAAAATATGAGTTTCGGGGGAGCACAGTTCAGTTCATAATAGATTTAACTGTAAACTTTACATAGTAGGTAGACCTCTGTAGCACAACATACATACCATAACAGGAAATCACAAGGGGAAAATAAGAAAGAAGCAACATACAATTTTTAGTAAAAGGCCTGAATATTAATAAAGAGTAGGTCAGTGGTTTGTTAATTGCCAACATAGATCTAAAAAGAAAAAAGAGTTAATGTCATGCTTAAGACAGTAAGAATAACAATGGGTTCAAGTAAAAGCTAAAAGTTAGATTATTATTTATTAATCTAATGGTACCAATATCATGTTCTTTGAATAAATAAACCTTAACAGCTCTTAAAATATGGGAATTTTTGAAGATTTTGTGTTTATACTAATGGGATTGGTTACCTGGAGTTTCCTTTAATATTTTACGTGGTCACTGTGTGATTCTTGCAAAAAATACTTCAACTGTTTTTGTTTGTTTTAATTTCCATGATGATGTCTTTAGAAAATGTGGAGTGATTATAAAAGTGTATCAAATGTTTGTATTTGACCAAATTGAGATGTCTTATGATTTTAGAGCCTCCATCTAGTAGGAATCATTCCTTTATTTTATTATTTGATGAAACAGAATAGCTCTTTTTTTTCTTCTTTATTGTTTAGAGAGAGACGAAGGGAGATGGAGAGAGAGACTTCAATGAGAGAGCGATTGGCCACCTCCTGCATGCCCCCCACTGGGGATCGGGCCTACAATCTAGGCATGTGCCCTGACCAGGAATCGAACTGGTGACCTCTGAGTGCATGGGTTGATGAGCCACACTGGCTGGGCAGCTCTTTTTGACTTTATTTCTAAATTGAGATTCTTGCTAATCATGTTCAGGTACTGAGTTATCTTGGTAAGTTTTTAAATTATGTCATTTTTAATATAGTATATAGAGTTATGATCTTTTGAGTTTAAATCTCTTGAAAATTATTAAGGAAAAGTATTGATTATATAACATGGCTATATTGTAAATAAATCTAGTATCAGACCTGAGTAGAAATTCTATTAACTAAGAGACTAATGTTTGTGTTATGTAGCCTGACCATGGCAATAAAACCAGCTTAGGAAAGCCTGCTGCTGCCCTTTTAAAAATTGGCAAATGGGACCATTGCCAGTTCAGAGAACATTCAACTTAGGACTCTAAAAAACGTAGTAAAGCACATAACATCATAATAGTAGATTTCTTTCTTTTTCTTTTTCTTTTTCTTTTTTTTTTATCCTCACCCGAGGACATTTTTCCATTTTTTGTTCAGACAGAGTGGGAGGGAGAGAGAGACAGAGAGAGAGAAACATCGATGTGAAAGGGACACATCGAGTGGCTGCCACCTGCACGACCAACCAGGGCCGGGGACAAACTGCAACTGAGGTACGTGCCCTTAGCGGGAACCGAACCCGGGTCTCTCTGGACCCCAAGCCGACGCTCTAACCGCTGAGCCAAACTTGCCAGGGCCAGGGCTAGATTTCTTGAATTAAAAAACAGTAAGAAAGCAATTGTTTCCTGACTTTTAGAATGGGGTAGGGAGGGACAATTGTTGAAGACTCTGCAATGACTCAAAGGTTATTTTCTTGGAGAAAAAATAGAAGGTTCTAAATGATTTGATGACTTTGAGGGATGGGACAAATAGGGTAATGACTCCTAGAAATCCCTACCCCTCTAAGTCTTTTCTCTATGTAAGTAGACAGCTCTCCACAAAATAGGCTAAATTCGTAGCTGAGTATATATACAAGACACAGGATACTGAAGTCACGTTTAATAGCATTGAAGGATATTGGATTTGATTATACTTGAAAAACAGTTAAAGAAACTTAAGCATTTTTTATTAGAAACCATATGGGACCTTGCTAGTTAGCTGAATATGAAGGGCCTTATCATTGAGGTCATTCACTAAATCTTTTCTTTTTCATCCTTCAGGATGAATTCCACTCACGATTGCGTTTTAATCGGAGAGGACTGGTTGCCATGGCAAATGCTGGTCCTCATGATAATGGCAGCCAGTTTTTCTTTACACTGGGTCGAGCAGATGAACTTAACAATAAACACACCATTTTTGGAAAGGTTTGTATCCATTATATTAGGTTTCTATGATATATATGATCAACTTATCTAAGAGCTGCCTTCATAAATTATTCCCTAGGATATTTATTTATTTTCAAAAACGAGGGAATATATTTCTGTTAAAATGAACTATGAGGGACCACCTGAATTTTATTGAGTATTTCAAATAAGGCATTGGTTATAACTTAAAATTTTTCTTTTTTCTAAAATCATACTAAGTGTATTAGCTACTATGTCACTCAGCTGATACTGTTTTGTTTTGAGAAAGACACCTAGGTAATAAAATATAGTAGTTTAAAGATTATTTTGTTAATGATGAATTCTCTTAAGTTTAAAGTGGAAGTTATATTAACATTAAAATGATTTACCTGACATTTACTTTCAATAGTACCTATTTAATCCTGCACACAATCAACATCATATCAGGGAATTCCACTTCCATAGAATTTTTAATAAGTTTCATTAAAAAAGGTTTCTGAAGGTCTTCTTTTTCTTACTCTCTTTTCCCTTCTCATAAATACTATATCCCTGTATGTTTTATCTTAGACATGTTAGACATCACTAGTGTATCAGCTCCCTCTGCTGGTTTCATAAGAATTGTTTTTCCATATCCTAGGCAACTGGAGTTCGTGATGATAAAGGAAAAAACAAACTTAGCACAACTATACAATTGGTATTATTTTAAAACTTTTGAGAAATGTTGAATGAAAGGAGTCATGCTAAAAACATTCAATACAATATTGTTGCTTAATTCTTAACAACATGAGTTAAGAAATACGCACTGGCACAGTTGAGCCACTCTGGCACAGGCTGTCTGATGTGCATAGGTTTTACTTTCTATTATTTCATCTAAAAATAAAGGCTGCCATTCTGCACCATTGTTTACAGTTGACTTTATATAACTTACACATTAGCGATAAAGAATGGCATAATGTTAGAATTCTGAGAGGCCATTACTCTCGGCTCTATAACTTCTTTGAACTTTAATTTTCTTATCTGGAAAAGCAAGATAATGATAGTAGCTACTTTTAGGATGTTTGTGAGGATTAAATGAGATAATATCTGCAAAGCACTTACCATATTGTTATTTGTTTGTTCTACCCTATTCTAAAGTTACATTTGTTTATGATGTTTGAATGAAAAGTTGTCATTCAGTAGGAGGTTATTTGGCATTATAGTTTAGTTTTTAATAAAAGATGATATTAAGTATATATTGGAAATTTCCCAAAAAACTTTTTTGAAGAGTTGCACTTCATCCATGTTTTTTCCTCTTAAGATGAGGTTGCTTTATTTGTATTATTTAATGCATATGTTCTTATATAACATTATGAAATTCCCTTTTAATTATTTAAAAAAAATATTTCCAAAAGTGTTCCCTTATTTCAAAGAATGAATGTAATAATTTACAATTAAATTTTTGTTTGTATTTGGTAGATTACAGGGGATACAATATATAACATGCTGCGACTGGCAGAAGTAGACACTGATGATGAAGAAAGACCACTTAATCCACACAGAATAAAAAGTTGTGAGGTAGGAGCATGATGAGTATAAGATACAGCACTTAAATTGTCATTTAAGAGAAATTGATTGTTAGTACTTTTTTTAAAGAATAGTTTATTGATTTTTTAGAGAAATGGAAAGAAACATCAATATGAGAGCTTAACTTCAACCTGCTGCCTCCTGCACACCCCCACCAGGCATTGAGCCCACAACCCAGGCATGTGCCCAGACTGGGAATCAAATCAGCAACCTTTTTTGGTGCCCAACCAGCTGAACCACACTGGCCAGAGCTGATTGTTAGTATTTTTTAACTATCACATGAAATCTTTATACTAAATTAAGTCACAACTCAGATTTTATCTGTGTAATTTAGGCACGGTTTTCAGTTAAGAATTTTTTTTAATTGAAGGTTTTGAATTCTAAGATGAAATTTTAGCTGATAATCCAATGAATGAATAGCTGGACTCAGAATGGAAAGTTAGAGGAATTCGGTTTATTTAACCTAATGAAGTGACTTCCTAGGTAACTTAAGAGTGATCCTTTATTGAGGAAGCCCTTGAGTGTGGGCTTTAGGAGCATTTGATTTGGAATCAAAACACCTGATTTTGTCTCTCATACTATGTATTAAGTTTTTTTGAATATTTTTTTAATTTTGAAAAATAAAGATAAGATATCCTTTACTTAATATAGCACATAGGATTATTAAGAGAACACAATGAGGGCGGGTAAGTGGAAGCACTTTATGTGTATGTAGTATATGTTTCACTATACTTATAATATTTTTGTGAGGAAAAAGTACACACTAATGTAAAAGCAATTAAATACTGGTTTTAATTTTTTTGTGAAATTTTAAAAATGGATTAATGTCAAATTTTTTTCATAGGTTTTGTTTAATCCTTTTGATGACATCATTCCAAGAGAAATAAAAAAGCCAAAAAAAGAGAAACCAGAGGAGAAAGTAAAGACATTGAAACCCAAAGGCACAAAGTAATTATAGTAGTAAGATTGTTCTTCTGCTTGAAAAGCAACACTGATTCATTTAGTTCATTTAATATCCTTTTGTAAAAATTGTTTACTAGTGAGGGGGAGGCCAGTTTGGACCAGGGAGCTATCTGAGTTTTGAGTATGTGTTGGCTTTTCTTCTGCATGGGCATTTCTTTTATTCAAATACAAATACAGTGTGTAACTTAAACTTCATCTAAGGAAGCATTGCCTCAGATGTCCATATGAAATTTATGTTAATATAAATAAGTAGGGTTACTGTAGCAATTATTTATATAAAAGAGTTTTGAGAAATTTTTTGTTTTTTCAATATATGCATAGTATAAGGAACTTGGAAAATAAAGAATGAAGGATATGACTGAGTGTTTACATAGCTTTTCACTCCTTTTTTGGTACTATTAAAATAATCTAATTATAAATACTTAAAAACATAAAGCTGTTTCTGTATCTGGATTATTCCCTTAGGATAGTTTTCAAAAATACACTTTTTTTAAAAAATAAGTTGAAGTACTTTGTGAACAGTATTCTTTACATTATTAATCTGTTTTATTAAAATAGATATCATAGAATTAGATTTCAATGGATTATTTTATTGAATTGTGGCATCCATATTAGGGATTTTATTGTACTTAAAGTGTTAGATTCAGGCAGTCTAAGTATAATCCTCCCTAACCCAGTCAATCAAAAGCAAAGTTTATTCATCTTTTTGGCCTTTAGTTTCCCCATCTTATAAAGTGGAGATTATAATAAAAAGAAAACCTGGTTGTTATGAAGATTAAATAAGAAGGGGAATTTGAAAATTCCCAGTCGTGTAGGTATCTAATACATATTCATTCCTTTCCTTGATACCCTATAATATAAGTAAGTTAAGTTGCTTTTATAAACTCTCAGATATGAGGCAGACATTTTAATAAGCAGTTGATGTCATGTGGCAAAATAACTTCATATATAGCTATATATTTGATTTCCTTTTACTTATTGATTCATTTATTTTGACTAATTTATCTTTGGGTTAAAGATCACTCTTAAAATATTCAGCTATAATATTTTATCTCTACAATTTATCTTGACAATAAGCCCAAAAGTTGGGTGTTTTTATTTTTGTTTTAATTCATAGTAAATATATTGGAGATGATGTGGTAGTCATTGATTACATTTAGGTTTTGAAATGAAAGTTCCTCTTTAGTTACAAATCTTTTATTTTTCCAATATTTGAGAAAGAGTTTTAATATCTAATTATTTATCTTCCTCAGGATATCTTTTGTTTGAAGCCTCAAAGAAGGCACTTAGATTTTTTTTTTCTCCCCATGGGCTATTTTATTGGACAGTTTTGTTTAACTTATTAATTTAAAAATATTGTCATATTTTGGCCAACACTAGATTGCTTCCTATTTGTAGTGTTTTCAGGTCTATATATTTATTAGTTTTTCAAAATTCCCCCTTTACAAACCATTTTTGATAAATATAAAAAACAATTATTTCTATTATGTTTGACTTAGTATATTTAATGGTAGCACTCTGAGTGGATTTTTGGTCATTAATTTAGTCTAGTATATGAAACATCTGTGGTCTAAGGCCAAAACCTTAACATTATGCTGAAAATATAGATGCTTAGTATATTTCTACTGAATACTAAGTAATATTGAATATTGTTAAACAGTCAGAATATATTTCTTCTTATAAGTTCTAGTCTTTTTTTTTTTAAATTAGGATATTTATAAGTTTTGTTTAAGTTTTTCTTCCTAATTTTCTTTCATTCTTTTTTCTTCCTATTTTGATTAGAAATTTCAGTTTACTTTCATTTGGAGAGGAAGCTGAGGAAGAAGAAGAGGAAGTAAATCGAGTTAGTCAGGTAAAACTCTAATTTGCCCTTTGTTCTCAAGTGTAAAAGAAATTGGGGTTTACATCTTATTCGTTTGTGTATCTCCTGCTATACATGGCGTGGCGAGTTTACATGGCACACATTCAGCAAATATTCACGGAATTAACTTCTAAAATAACTTATGGTCAGTAATATTTGCAACTTCTGAGAAGATTTGCTCTCTTAAGAGCTCATGGACATGGACAACAGTGTGGTGATTGCAGCGGTTGGAGCATCAGCCTGCGGTCCAGAGAGTCCTGTGTTTGGTTCCTGCTAACGGCACGTACCTTGGTTGCAGTTTGTCCCCGGCCCTGGTTGGGTTGTGCGGGTGGCGACCACTTGATGTGTCCCTTTCACATCGATGTTTCTCTCTCTCTCTCTCCTTCTCACTCTGTCTGAATAAAAAATAGAAAAATGTCCTTGGGTGAGGATAAAAAAAAGAAAAAAGAAACAAAATTACAGTGGTTTTTTTTAAACCTGGAATTATTTTTTGTCAGAATGAAAGTTGAAGAACTTTATGATTCAGATTTTAATTGCTGTTTGTTTAATGGATTTACTAGATAACAATGAATTATTATTATTAAAATAAAGAGTGATAGACCAAATCTCTTATATTCATTTAAATATTTATATATATTTATTTTATTAATTTTCATTGGCAGTCCTTTAAGATAGGTATCATTATTATCATCCCCATTCTACCCCTGAATAAACTAAGGTATAAATAGGTTATAATTTGCTCAAAGTCACAGAACCAGTAAGTTAGCCAGAGCTGGCATTTGAACCTACATCTGTCTCACTGTAAAGTCCACATCTTTGCACTATGCATTGCCTCCTGGCCTTTCACCACCCAGTGCTTCCCGTAGGCCTTCGAGTGTGATTTCCCTTGATATCACTTTCAGCACAAGACTTATATCTGAAACCCTGCCATTGTTCAGAGCAGTAATTCTGATAAGTATACTTCCAAAAAATCATCTAAAGCGTTTTGACTCCCAAAGATTCTGATATGTCTTCATTTCTGGAAAATTAGTGAATAATGAGATCTAAAGGATTAGGTTCAGAGTCTTTATTGTAATAATTAAAACTCTATAACCTAGCACTGCCTTGCTTGCGTAACATAATCACCTACTTCTTACCAACATTAACAATAGCGTTGATTTAAAAGCACATTATTGTTGCCCTGGTCTTTACTTCTTTATCCACGTACTCTGCTTCCCTCGCCATTGAGTGTGGTTTTGGTAGGCTGATGTTGAGCATATGGTGAGCACTCTACTTATACCCCTTGCATTAAAGTTGAATTAAAGTGGGCATGTATTAGAAATATTTTGGTCACAACTTTTTTTCTCACTGGCTTCAGTATTCTTTTTTAAAAATTATTATTAATTAATATATTTTTGTTAACAGATGTTTCTCCATTTTTCCCCCAGACATCCTCCTTCCTAAACCCGCCACCCCCCCCCCCCCCCCCCCCCCGCCCGCCCGCAGCAAAGCAAGCATTGTTGTCTGTGTCCATTGGTTACGTATACAGGCATGCTGCTCTCCTCTGAAGTTTGTCAGTCTGAACTGTACTCCTTTCTATGTCTCTGGGACTATTTTGTTCATCAGCTTTTTTTGTTCATTATATTCGACAAATAAGTGAGATCATGTGGTATTTGTCTTTCTATGACTGGCTTATTTCACTTAGCATAATGCTCTCCAGGTGCCTCCATGTCATCTCAAAGGATAAGAGATCTTTCTTTCTTAAAGCTGCATAGTACTCCATTGTGTATATGTACCACAGCTTTTTTATCCACTCATCTATTGATGGACACTTGGCTATTTCCAGATCTTAGCTCTTGTAAATAGTGCTGCTATGAACATAGAGGTACATATATTCTTTCTGATTGGTGTTTCAGGCTTCTTAGGATATATTCCTAGAAGTGGGATCACTGGGTCAAATGGCAGTTTAATTCTTAATTTTTTGAAGTAACACCATATTGATTTCCATAGTGGCAGCACAAGTCTGCATTCCCACCAGCAGTGTACTAGAGTCCCCTTTTCTCTACACCATTGCCAGCATTTGTTGTTTGATAATTTGTTGATGGCAGCATTCTGGCAGGTGGGAGGTGATACCTCATAGTCATTTTAATTTGCATCTCTCTGATGATTAGTAACATTGAGCATTTTTTCATGTCTCTTTGCCATTTGTATGTCCTGTTTGGAGAGATGTCTATTTAGCTTCTCTGCCCATTTTTTAATTGAGTTCTTTGTCTTCCTTTGTTGAGTTGTATGAGCAATATATATATTTTGGAAATTAACCCCTTATCTGATGTATCATTGGCAATTATGCTCTCCCATGACTTCAGTATTCTTGAGTGATCTATTTGCTACTGTGATTCAATTATCACTTGTATACTAATATTCTGAACAAGGAGACAAGGCTGAACATTTCTTCTAGGCTCTTGTTTTTCATTCTCAGTTGCATTTAGGAAACATCTCTACTTTAGATGTCCAAATTAAATACATCTTTACATGAAAACTTTCTATCCCTATTCCTTATCAATATCACCAATATGTCTGTCACCCCAATAAATTCATCATCATTAGATATCAATGCACTGCTCTCTTGCATTACTCATGACTCACATTTGTGCCTCATTAAGATGAAAGATTTACTATATGTCATGATCCTATGGGTATATTTGTAAATGTATAAAACCACAAATGTTAGCTCTGGGAATTGCCAGATTCCTTTTTATATTGATGTTTTCTAAAGATGTCAAGTTGCCTTGCATACTCATGCCTTCCCCACAGTCCTCCTACCCTTTTTCCCTTTTACTTAGAGTGTGCTCTCTACTTTATTTGGTTGCCTTTTGTTTTTCTTTAAGATTTAACTCCAATATTGATTCCTGACTACCTCTGCCTCCCTCCCCGACCCAAGTCCTACCTAGGCTGAGCTTAATTTCTTTCAGTGGTAATCTGTCTCTGGCCTTCAGAAGCACTTATTTTACTAAATCGTGTTGATTTATTTTCTTACCTGCTACCTCTGCCAACTATTTATTTTATGTAATCTTTATAACAACCATGAGATATGTAAATTTTGTAAATGAAGAAACCAATACTCAGAGAGGTAACGTAGCTTGTCCAAGACCATGTAATTAGGAAATGGTAGAATCAGAAATTTTAAGCTAGGTTTCTGTAGCTATTTAAGTCTCTGATATGACTTTGGATGCTGCAGAAGTTGCCTAGTTCAAACACAAGCCATCTAAAAGGTTGGCAAATACAAATGTCCAAGAGACATGAAAAAATGCTCAACGTCACTTATCATCAGAGAGATGTAAATTAAAACAAGAATGAAGTATCACCTCACACCTGTTAGAATGGCTGCCATCAACAAATCATCAAACAACAAGTGCTAGTGAGAGTGTGGAAAAAAGGGGACTCTAGCACACTGCTGGTGGGAATGTAGACTGGTGCAGCCACTATGGAAAACACTATGGTGTTTCCTCAAAAAATTAAAATTGAATTGCCATTTGACCCAGTGATCCCACTTCTAGGATTTTACTCTAAAGAGCCTGAAACACCAATCAGAAAGAATGTATGTACCTCTATGTTCATAGCAGCACTATTTACAGTAGCTAAGATCTGGAAATAGCCAAATGTCCATCAATAGATGAGTGGATAAAAAAGCTGTCATACATTTACACAATGGAGTACTATGCAGCTGTAAGAAAGAAAGATCTCTTATCCTTTGAGACGACATGGAGGGACTGGAGAGTAGTATCCTAAGCGAAACAAGCCAAGCAGAGAAAGACAAATATCACATGATCTCACTTATTTGTGGAATATAATGAACCAAAAAAACTGATGAACAAAATAGATCCAGAGACATAGAAGTAGGGTACAGACTGATAAACCTCAGAAGAGGAGGTTGGGGGAGGGAAGAGATAAACCACAGAACTTATATGCATGTATGCGTACCCAGTGGACATAGACAACAAAGCTGGGGACGGGGTGGGTGGGGTGGGGTGGGGGAACTGGGAGGAGGGTGTCAGTGGGGAAAAAAGAAGAAATATCTGTAACAAAAATAAATTAATAAAAGTAATTTTTAAAAATTAAAAAAATAAATAAATAAAAGGCTGGTGAGAAGTTTCACTGGTAGCACAGCATTCTGGGGTGTAAGGCAGCCCAGTGGAACGGGCCCACGTCCTCCCCTGGATTCTAGATTGAGCGGACTTGGAGATCGAGAGTAGGACAAAGAAGTTTTTTTCTGTCAGTCTTTTTGTTGAATTAAATATCTGGTCTAAAGTAAGTTTTGTTCACAATTACTTTGAGATTGACTTTACTGGGAAATTAGTTTAAATGTTGTCTGTTTGTAACAGCAGCATGTGTGAAATGTTTAAAGCTGATCCTTCTGTTGCTTACTATTACACAAAGTGAAAAAAATGATATGTTTAACTTACACTGAACATAGTAAACTCAACACTCCAAAAGCACTTTGTGCTTGCTACAAGATTGGTATGTGAAGGGATACCACCATGGATAATGCCAGCTTGCTCTTTATGTTTGTTCTTAGACCTGAAAAACACTCAAACGGTAAAAACACTAAGTAAATGCTTTCCTCTTTGCCAAGAAAATTGCACCCTATAGTCCATTTGCAAACGAGTAGTATAACCCTAGTGTTGTGTCATCATATTTCTCTTATCTGACTCTTTAATGGGGTGGGCTATGTGATAATATTATGAGGTTTTTGTTTTTGACTTTCAAATCTCTCTCTCTCAGCTGACTTACTCATCATCCTTTAGCTGCTTACTGGACATCTCTCTATTTGAATATCCCACTAGTTACCCAAGCGCTGGCCAAGGCTTAATTCATTATCTTTTCTTCTCAAAATTCTTCCTATCCTGTGACTTTTCTTTCTATTCCCTGGTATCGGTATCCTCTAAAGTATTTTAGATTAAGTTCTGACTTTTTTCTTATTTTTATTCTGCACAACCAGTTAGTTGTACTGTTCTACTAATTTTTCATTCATGGTATATCTCAAATCTATTTTTTTCTTTTGATTTATTTTGCTGCTATCTCAGGCTCTATCTCTAGCCTTGGCTGTGGTATAATCTACAGGCTGGTCTGCCATCTCCCTTCTCTTCTTTTCTTTCCGCTCATTACTATCAGAATAGTCTTCCTGAAGCTTCAGTAAGATGTTAGAGTGTCTTTCTGCTGACTGTAGAAAGAAGGCCAAGTTCTTTGGCCTGTTATTTCAAGCTTCTGCATTCATGACTCCCCTTTGCCAGCTCTGTCTTTTTGCCTCATACTTTTTTTTTTAAGTTCTCACCCAAGGATATTTTCTACTGGTCTTTTCAGACAGAGTGGGAGGGAGGGAGAGAGAGAGAAACACCTATGTGAGAGAGACACATGGATTGGTTGCCTCCTGCATGTCCCCGACCAGGTTGGGGATTGAACCCACAAATGAGGTATGTGCCCTTGACTGGGAATTGAACCCTGGACTCTTTGGTCCAAGGGCAATGCTCTAACCACTGAGCAAAACCCGCCAGAGCAGCCTTATACTTAAACTTCTGTTGATAAAAATCACTTATAGTGCTTTCAAAAAAATTAAATTTCTAGGCCGCATCTCAGACCTGTGAATCAGAATTAACAAGGGTGGGGGCCTGGGAAGCTGTACTTTTATTGAATTCCCTGTAATTCTTATCAGGGAAATGTAGGAAACACTGTGTTAGCAGATCTGAACTGTTTGCTGTTTTATATAAATGCCTTGTATTTTCCCTTTTGTGTGTGTGTGTCTTTGTTTGTGTTCTTCTCCTTACCTAAAGTGTCCTGTCCCACCTCTGGATATCAGTCATATTATTTTAAACACCTAAAATACCATCTTTTCTAAATGTCATTTCCACTTTTTTATAATTTTTTTCTTTTTCTGATCTAATGTTTGCCTTTCTTGTGATCCTTACATTTTCGTTTTAAAAACATTCTTTTTGCTTTATTATATAAGAACCTATGACTCGTTCTCACTGTGTACTGCTGAAACTTATACCTTTTCTGGCTGCCTTATTGTGTGTGGGGAGTTCCAGGGTGTGGACTCCTTGATGGTGCTTTGTATCACCTTTGTGTGAGAGGATGTTGGAGTAGAGATAGCATAAATTTAAGGTCATACAAACTTATGTTGGCACTTCACTTTCCACTGGTACTTGGTGACTTTGGGTAACTTAGTCTCCCTGAGCCTCAATATTTATCTTTGTAACATGGAAATAATATGTACCATTTAGAGTAGGCTATGTATATACTTACATTGGTATATTATGCAATCTTGTAAATGTTTTTGAAACTTAGATGTCTTCAAGTAAACAATATACTCTGTTGAAATTTGTATTTTATTCTCAGAGAGCTAATGAGTATCAAACAATTTCTAATATGATTATAACTAGTATGCAGAAGTTGCCACCCTCATTCTCAAGCAATCTGGAGGGCTGGGGAGAAACTTCCCCAGCAGTTCAGCTTTCCGGGGTAGGAAGCCATAAGCTCATGACAACTGGCCTGGTGTCCATCCTGAGCACTCCCATAGGGTCCTAGATAGTAGCCTGAGCAGCCTTAGAGAGCATGGTTGTTTGTGCACCTGTGCAGCATCACCCATCAGCAACCCATTCTCCACATGGGAGTGCATCTTGACACACTGCAGAGTCTTTGCCCTGCAGAACTTAGCTGTTTTGTCTGTTCATTACAATAGAGCCATAGATAAATTTAGCTTGAGAAAATAGAACAACAACAAAAATCATTGAAATTTACTGGCATAGAGGAAAGAAAATGTCTCTAGAGGGCATGATAAAAGTTCAAGAGGGATTGAAATGGAAGTGTATTTTGTTTATTTTGCTTTTGTACTGTTCTTCAGACTATGAGCACCATTCAAGTACATTTTACCTCTGGGTAAAATGAAACCTTGATAAGAAAAGGAAAGGCTAGCCTGAATGTTAGAAAAGTCTGGCAGATAGAATATATATTTTTTAAAATTTAGCCTTACTGTTCTGAAATGTATGTAATAACTAGAAAGAGTCAAGTAAGTGTCTTTTACAATGACTGAGAGCAATTTGCAGTTTTAGTGGTTGCATGAAACTAAATATTTCTAGAGGACTTGAAAATAATTGTTTCATTATTCATTTGCTTATCAAGTTTCTTTTTTCAGTGACTCCACAGTGTTAAGCTTTATTCCAGAACCAGTCTAACATCACAAGTTAATAATTGGTAAAGTCTGAATTGAGGCTTTCCTTTATGTGAAAGGAGAAACAAGATAGAGTCCCCTCTGGTTTATGGATTATCAGTGTGGGATTACAGACGCAGCTTCACCCCGCTCATTTCTTCCTGACAGGCGCCTCTCCCACATGGGTTAGCTTTCCTTCATTATTTATTTCAGTATCTTTCTACTACCTGATAAAAATCTCTTTTAGAATAATAGAATTTTATAGCTCAGAGGGATCTAGTCCAACTTCCTTTCTTTATAGATGGGGAAACTAAGACTCTGGTTAAGTGACTTTCCAGACTGACTTCATTTCCTCTTTGATAGGATCGCATGATAGGGGGGTGCCATAGTAACACATCTTGAGTTCAGGAAAGCACATTGTCAGAGTCTCTCATGATATTCTTGTGGACAACTTGAGGAAATGTGATCTGGGAGATAGTACAGTCAGATGGATTTATCGCTGATTGAATACTTCTTCCCAAAGAGTGCTTTGTTGTCAATCTGTGCCTGATTATTTGAACTAATAAGTTGAAATGTAATAGGAGCACATGTAAATTCTATACTTCAGTTTAATGAAGTCAACTGAATAGGTACAAGACTTAATAGCCTGTAAATCCTGGTTGAATTATTAAGAGTAAGGTCTCTGGAATAAGGAATTTAACATTCTTTGCATTTTGGGGCTCACATTTGCAGCATTTTGTTCACTTCTGAACACATTTAGGAAGGATACTGACCAACTAGCTGTATCCAGAGGCTGGGAGGGTCATGAGGAGGATGGGGGTGATACCAGGAACCATCTCACGTGGGGAATGCTTGAGGAACCAGATATATTTGGAGAAGTGAAAAGGTGATCCTAGACTTCAAATATTTGAAAGGTTTTTGTCTGGAAGATTCCCCCTTTGTATTGCTTCCTTAAATAATAGCCTCTTTCAGATGTCTGTATTGGTTTTGTTTACTCCTGAATCTTAGTGTATACAAATTTTTAAATGAAAACTTATAATCGGACAAGTATTTTTCATGAAGCAAGTTAAATGGTAGGTTTGTTATAAAAGCATCTCAATAGTTAGATTTTAAAATAGTGATTAAATCTTGCCACATCCACAACAGTGATACATATAATATTTCTCTCACTTTAAGATGTAAACATTTTTACTTCAGATCCAGTAATAAGGCTTTTTTTCTCACCCAGAAACAAAGTTATATTGATAGACGAATTTACCAGTTTTGAGAATAAAGTAAGAATATTTTGTTCTATTTTTATTTATACTATGAAATATATATCAGAAGGCATATATTTACCTCAAAGTAAGACCTATTAAATTTAGAAGGCTGTTTTCAAAATTGTTAAACAGTGGTGAATGAGGCTTAAGGCAGATAGTTTCATCTCTCTGTATCTGACATTTTAAAATTTCAATTAACATATTTTGAAATGAATTTTTCAAAATAAAATTTTATTTCAAAATAAGTAGAAGTTATTCTTCTTCAACTCTAACCTCTTACTGTTTGCACTAGCTGATTAGTTGAGGGGTAGGGGCAGTGAGCAGTTTCCCATCTCAGGGTATACCTTTGAAGTTGGCCCACCCTGTGGTGGGGAAGTCTGTAGGATGGCCTGCAGCTCCGAAACCGGCCAGTGTTCTGGGTCTCTAGGGGCCTCTAGGCAAAAAAATAGATATCTTACATTTTTGGTATATTCTTGTGAGACAGACTTAGATCTAAATCCTGGGTCCTCTAATAGTGACTAGCATTGTGACTTCCAGTAAGTTACATAATCTAATTCTTTTCCCCCGTCTGTTAAATGGGGATGATAATGCCCACATATGTATTTTCATTTGAGGAGGGGAGGGAATGAGGGGTAGGAATACTGTACTGTAGTGCGGTGCCTGGCACAAAGTGTGCACTTAATACCAGTAGTAGGGTTTATTTTATAGTTCTTCTTATGTCTCCCTGTGTCTTATTTCTCTACTAAAATATACATTTATTGAGAACACAGACTTTGAAAGGAAAGGATTTCATAAATATTTGGTCATTGATGAGTCTCGTGCTTGGAGGCTCTTCCACATGCACGTTTTCTTTGTTCAGTAGTAAGTACCTCATAGGGTGCTCATCTGGCTGCTTGGCACGTTTTAAAAGTGATCCTCTGCAATGTAAAGAGTGTATTTGAAGGACCATAGTGTACATTTATTTCAAATTCTTCTTGTGATTTATCTTCTGAGCTTTAATATCTGGCACAAAAATGAATTAGTTTAGCTGTATGTAAATCATAATAAGGATTTAGTGATTGGAAATAGTAATCAATAAACTCATTGTCAAGGATATATCACATTTTAAAGAAAAGGTGTTTCTAAAATAAAACTTTCACTGAATTCAGTTAGATTCTTATTTTATACTGAAATTTTCAGGAACACATTTCTTTTGCTAACCACATCTATCAGTACTAGACTTTATGTAAGTGTTAACTTGTCCGTTTGGAAGACTGTTTTCCCCCCACTCATGATTTATCATATATTCCTTTCTAGAGCATGAAGGGGAAAAGCAAAAGTAGTCATGACTTGCTTAAGGATGATCCACATCTCAGTTCTGTTCCAGTTGTTGAGAGGTTAGTATGGTGCTTATGTGATCCTTCAGTTCTTATTTTCTGGCTCAGATAATTTCTAACTTTCTTTGGGAGTAAATAGTTGTTCCTCATAAGTCAGATTTTTTCAACCCAGCCAAAAAGCTAAAGCATTTTGGTAATGGAGGCAGTAGAGCTGCTAGCCTATGGAGAGACGCATGGGAGCTGCTTTCCCTGCTGCTGCTTTCCCTCCGGGGGACTAATTCAATCTGAGATTAATGCTAAGCTTTTAAATCTTGGGGTAGTTTGAAGACTGGGAAACTGTTGGCTTTAACAGTTCTATGTTTAATTCAAAGTTGCTTTGCTAACTTTTTCCGTAGAGCATTTTTGTCTCAGTTGGTATGGATGGATAAAGAAATCAGAGTTGAAGGGTTTTGTGAAAGTCGCCACATTTTGGGCCAATCCGTTGAGCATTATTTCTTACATACTTAAGGAGTTAACAGAAAACTATCTTTCTGTCTTTGTTGTTTCTCTTTGAGAAGGGAAGATGGCTTACTGTTACATGTAATTGCACATGATATATTGGGCCAGTGTCTTAAAGGGGGACTAAAATACTATTGTACTGAGTTTAACTCATTTTCAAAAATTCTGTTTCAAAACAGTCTTTTCTTGATATCATTGTATTTGAAGGATTTGTTTCATCAGCCAGATGAAAGAAAGCCAATGGAAGAAATTATTTTCTGCAGCCCTTTGTTCATACAAATAGCGTTGTCGGTTATTGTTTGCACTTTTTTCTTTTAATTCTGTTGATTTCGTGTATGTGCTAATGGAGCATAGCTCTTATTCTGTTCATAAAAATGGACTTATTTTAGAATATTTCTGTCTACTCTAGAATGCATTCTGAAATTCCTATGGTGAAATAAGTTTTTAAAATATTAATTCAGCAAAGTATTCTAAATTTGGGGATTATTGAATAATTTTATTTCATTTTGAAGCTAAAATTTACTTGTTTTCCTTATTTTTTTTTGTAGTGAAAAAGATGATGCAGCAGATTTAGATGATGTGAGTATTTTAGTATAGTTTGAACAATTTACAGAAAATTCAACATTTTTTAAAAAATAAATTTTTTTTATTAAAAAGTTATAAGTATTACTTTTATAATTATACACATAATTTTTTTAAATTTTGAGGATTTTAAAAAATATAATTTATTTTGATATTATAATATTTTCTTTCAAGGGTGTCTACATGTTTGGAATCATTTGGAATCATACATATGAATTTCTAGCTTGTTTTTTCTCCTTATGATATAACATTACTTGAATCCTCAAAATTCACTTGTCATTGATTTTATTTTATTATGTTAAAAGTTGAAATGTTGATGTGTGGTATCCTACATGATGTATGGGAAATACTTGGATCATTCATTTATAGCAGTATTCCTTCCTTATACACACATTTCAGAAGATTCTCTTTCATGACTTCAGTGATCTTTTTTTCACTGGTTGTTTGTACTGGCTTAAAGCTGATAAAACAGAAGGCAGAGTTTCCTTTATATATAAGAGATCAAGTTTTTCAAGTCATTCATTTGTCACTTTATGTAAAACCCATTGGGTCTGTGCATCGTATAAATTCAGTAGGAAGTACATAATTTTCTATGCATGAACACAGCTTTATCTATTACCAAAGTCAAAAGAGAGGTTTTTTTTTTTTTTTTTTATGACTATGTGTATTAGAGAAAGGATGTATATCTAACCTGTTCCAGAAAACCTTCCTGCTAGAGATGATTGTGTATGTATTAGAGGAGAATTAGAAGTTAACTAGATCAAAAAAGAATGTGGTAAAGGGCACAGTTCCTCTAGCTCGGGGAATAGCAAATGCTACAGCATGGTGACCATGCCTTATTTAGGAAGTACAAGCTGAGGTTAAAGTTTGAGAAGGAACCTGCCTTATGTGAGGAGCAGGGGGAGAGAGTGTTGATAGTAGAAGAAACTACATGTGAAAAGGCGCTGAAGCAGGAGGAGCTGAAAGCAGACCAGTGTGAGCAGAGTGCCGTGATGGGAGTGAGAAGGGACTGGGCCTGGAGGGTGGGTGAAGCCAGACATCAGAGCGCTCTCCAGGCCATGGGGAGGAGTTTGAATTTCATTCTAAAAGTAATGAGGAGCAGTTAGAAGGTATTGGTTAAGAAGAGTGCTGTGGTCAACTTTGCATTTTTGTGAGGTTGCTGTTGGCAATATTATAGAGGACACATTAGAACTGGAATCAAGGAGATCTCTTGGGAAGCTATCACAGAGGACAGTTTGATATAAGACCACAGCTGTGAAATGGGAAAGAGACTTGAAAGATATATAGTGTAAGAGGTGACTGATGCCATACTCTGAGGTGAGGGAGAAGGACAGTCTAGGACAATGACAGGGTTTCTGATTTGGGAAATTTGTTAGATGGATACAAAATCAAGAGTAGGCTTGAGGGGGAGAAAGATGAAAGACAATGTGGTTAATTTTGTACATTTTGAGAGTCAGAGTACTTGAAGACATCTGTGTAACCATGAGATGGGTCTGGAAGATGGTGTCAAGACCTGATACAAAAGTATAGATTGCCGTGGCCTGTTTGGCTCAGCAGTCAGAGTGTTGGCCCGTGGACCAAAGAGTCACGAGTTCAATTCCAGTCAAGGGCATGTGCCTTGGCTGCAGTTCAGTCCTTGGTAGTACGGGAGACAACCAGTTCATGTGTATCTTCCACATCAGTGTTTCTCTCTCCCATTCCCTCCCTCCTTTCCATTCTATCTGGAAATCAATGGAAAAATATCCTCGAGTGAGGATTTAAAAAAAAAGTATAGATCTACTCTTATGGTCTTGGTGGGGATGAGGTCATCTAAAGATAGTGTCTCTAGCCTGCTTTGTGCCCCTGATCCTTTGCAATGGCTTAAACTGTAGACCTTCCCAGGAAATATACTACATCCACACAAAAAATTTTTATGAATTTGTAGGGGACTTTTTAGATCTCCTGAGGACTACATGGAAGACCTAGGTCAGTGGTTATCAACTTTTAGGGCTAAAGAATTTCTTAAGCACGTCACTGGAAACATTCACAATTTCTATTCCTAGAGATTTAGTTCAGAAAGACTGGGACGCGGGCTAGGATGTTATATTTTTTAATAAACAATCCATGTTATATAATCCAAGGACCAGACTTTGAGGACCACCGCTCTAAGGGCCCACTACCTCAAGGTAAATCCTAGAAGAAAATGTAGGCAACAAAATTTCAGACATCATACGCAGCAGAATTTTCACTCATACATCCCCTAAGGCAACAGAAACAAAGGAGAAAATGAACACATGGGAGTACATCAGGCTCAAAAGCTTCTGCACAGCAAAAGGTACAATCATCAAAATGGAAGGCAACCCACTGTATGGGAGAGCATAACTGCCAATGATATATCAGATAAGGGGTTAATTTCCAATATATATAGACTACTCATACAACTCAACAAAAGGAAAACAAAGAACCCAATTAAAAAATGGGCAGAGGAACTAAATAGACACCTCTCCAAACAGGACATACAAATGGCTAAGAGACATATGAAGAAATGCTCAACATCACTAGTCATCAGAGAGATGCAAATTAAAACAACAATGAGGTAAAATAAATTAATTTTTAAAAAAAGAATCTTGCCTCGCCCTGACTGGTTTGGCTCAGCGGTTAGAGCATCGGCCTGCGGTTAGAGCATCGGCCTGCAGTCCAGAGAGACCCGGGTTCGGTTCCCACTAAGGGCACGTACCTCAGTTGCAGTTTGTCCCCGGCCCTGACTGGGTCATGCGGGTGGCAGCCACTCGATGTGTCCCTTTCATGTCAATGTTTTTCTTTCTCTCTCTTCCTCCCCCTCTATCTGAACAGAAAATGGAAAAATGTCCTCAGGTGAGGATAAAAAAAAAAGAATCTTGCCTTACTGTGACTCAGCTGATCAGAGAAACAACAGAAAAAGATCCTCTTGAAGTAGCATCTTGCTTCTCTACCCTTCATCCTCCTTCCCTCCTCGTTTCTCTTTCTACTGCTTTCTCTGTTAATGCTAGGAACTATTCTGGAAGTTGAAGATATAACAGTAGGCAAAATGGTCCAGAATATTAGCCCTCATGGAGTGCATCCTCTAATTAGAGAGACATTAAATGCATAACTAATTAAATGCTTTGGGGGGAAAAACAGGGAAGGGGAATAGAGTACTGGAGATGGGTGAGTAGCTCTGCCAGTTTAATAGGGTGATCAAGATAAGTATCACTGAGAGGGTAACATTTGAACAGAGATCTGCAGGGGATGAAAAAGCAAGTGATGCAGATCTGTGGAACAGAATGTCTCGACTGGAGAGAGCCGCAACTTCAAACCTGGCGAGTGTTGCTGGGATGGAGCCATAGGAGGTCATGTCACGGAGGTGCGGATGTGTAGGGTCTTGCGTCAGTTGGGATTTATTGGAGGGTTTTGAGAAGTGGAGTAATTGTTGTGGCTTAGATTGTAGGGAGCAATCTCAGCTGTCTCACCTCCATCTCTTCTACTTGAATCGATCCCTGTTTGAGGTACGTGTGCTGGCGATACAGAGGAGCACAGTTTGTTGTACAGAGGGGCTGGCTGTGAACTGAGCAAACAGCTCTGACTGGGGTATCTCACGCTTCCATAGTTGACGCAGCGCAGACCCCAAGCAGATTCCCACCTCTCGCAGATTCTTCAGCCTTTACTAATTCAAAACAAAACAAAACAAGAAAACAAACCTGGCCTAGGATGCAGCGAGAGTCTGAGATGGACCTCTGGAAGTGAAAGGGGAAATGGAATGCCCAGTAAATACTCCCTTTCAATTTCTACAGGATGAAGAATTTGAAAGTGGAGAACATGATGAAAATATTGATAGTGATGAGAAGAATCTGATGAGAGAAAGAATTGCAAAAAAGTTAAAAAAGGACCCAGGTGCAAATGTTAAATCAGCGGGTGAGGGTGAAGTGGAGAAGAAACCAGTCAGCCGCAGGTGAGTCTACTCTTGTGCTTCTAGGTGTCGGTATTTGCCTTTTCATACTTCATTTTAAGTTCAGATTGAGTCCTCTATTCAGTTTATTTTTTAAAATACTATTTTCATAATGTTCAATATATTACTAGTTGTGCTAACTTAGCCCATTTGGAAGCCTAAAAGAAAATAGGCCAGTTTTAAAGTAATTACAGCAATGATCCTATGAGTCAAATTCCACTTCATTTCTCTCTGATTTCTTCTTTAAAAGACTCTACAAATGTTTATATATGGGGCAAGCAGTCTATTAGCAAGATGTGGGAGGTTGTGTTTCTTTAATATCAACGAGAGCGATAGTGTAATTGTGTAGAATGAAAAGAGATATCTTCTGATTTAGGTGAGTAAATTTTGTCAAAACTGGTTAGGAAAGTGTATGGGCATGAAACCATTTTTAAATACCATTTCAAGTCTGATTTATACCATATACCCCTCCTAATCTCATTGTTACTGTAAAAGAAATTTCAGCAAATGTGATAAAGTTACTGAGTTTTTTGACTCAACATTTTATTCCCCTGAAATTCAACTTAATTGAAAAAACTCTCCTTCATGATCCTGTTATTATAACTTTATGGTATATATTTTAAAAAATACTGCTTTAAAAAGTAATAGTATTTGTTTTCTTTGGGTGGCCTACATTTGAGGATAAGATAGATATAACTATGTATAAACAACATTCTATTTTTGGGTTATGTTTCTCAACCTCATATAAAAAACGTAAAAAGTATTCTCATGTTGTCATTGCTTAGCTCCCTTAATTTTTTTTCTTTATGTAACCAGAAAAGTAATTCTAAGACATTTCCACTGATGGTATAACCTTTTGCATTCAAAATGGTACTTAGAAGTTACTTTAAATATCTTTTCCAGCAGTATTCACCTGATAAGCAGTCAATGTTGAATAATTTAATATAGTTGATTAACTTTGGGCCATTAGTAACTGAAGATTTTGGTGATGATATATATGCTTATATATAAATGGAGTTGATGAGTCTCTCATCATTTCTGTAACTTGTAGTCAAATCATTAAGACAGTCAAGGATACCTTTTTTCCTCTCTCTTATTCAAAACAAATGTTTTCTGATTTTTAAGAACTATGAATTAGGATTATAACATGACAAAAAATACATCTTGAATTTTAATAAATGAACAAAATATTTGTTGTTTAAATGTTTCCTTAAGTCCTCAATTTTACCTTCTTGGCCTTAATACAATTTCAAATACTTATATACCCTCTAATTAATAGAACTTGTAATTTAGCAAAGCTGAAGTTTCTGTAAGAACTAAAGAAAACTTAATTGGTAAAATTGTCCTTAATAGCCCTGGCCGGTTTAGCTCAGCAGTTTGACCGTCAGCCTGTGGACGAAGGGTTGAGGGTTCGATTCCAGTCAGTGGCATATACCTGGGTTGTAGGTTTGATCCCTGGTCCTGGCCAGGGTCGTTCAGGAGGCACCAATTCATGTCTCTCTCACATCGACGTTTCTCTCTCCCTCCCTCCCTTCCACTCTATCTAAAAAAGTCAATGGAAAAGTATCCTCAGGTATGGATTAACAAAAACAACAACAAATTGGCCTTAATAAACACCAGACATCTATGTGTAAGTGTTCTGTTTTCCAAATTTTCAATATTCACATCTTCTCTCCCTCTGTCATCCTCTCTCTCCCCTACCCACAAAGAAAAATTAAAGAAAAATGAGGAGATCTGGAGAAAGTTCAGAATTTCTTAGGGAAAATACAGTTTTCACTCTTGTTTATAAATTTCCATGATTGTCTAATTATTACTTATTTTAAATAAAAAACATTTCCAAAATCATTAGTGTGTTTGGTCAGTTATGCTAGCTTTACTACAGTTTGTCTCGAGTTAGTTTTATGTTAAGAAACAGAAAACCTCTAAGAGTTTTAAACAATTGTAGTGTGGTGAAAAGGATAATTATATTGAAAGGAAAATCACTGCTCAGTCTAAGTTGAATTATAAGAGAAATAGCTGCGGGCCGGATAGGGAGTCAGTGTGAAATCACTATCTGTTCGAAGCTCGCTGCTCTTGCTGTACGCACGCTTTCCATCTGGACGCGTCTGCACACTCCGTTGTCCTTGGGCAGCTCTTACTCGAGCAGCAGCGATCAGGGCCTAGCCTAGCCTACCAGCCCTTTCTGCAAGGAGCCATTCAAGTATAATTTTACTGAAAACTTTTGGCATTGCTTTTATTGGTAAAGAAACATCTGGAATCTGTTAAAGCTGTTTATCACTTTGGATGTTAAACCTACAGCAGGTTTGTTGGGTACTTAATATTTAAGCTGGGGAACGGTATTTAACAATATAATTTTCAAAAAATTTACATAAGGTAGAATCTTTCCCTAATATTGTATTCTCAGCCATATCTCTAGTTGTTCCATTGAGGAGTATTTAGGGTTTCAGGAGAAATAAATCCAAAGTTTTTCCCACCTTCTCTCCTTTCTTTTTTCTCATTATACTTATTCTTCTTTAGGATTTTGGTCCCTTGCCTCCTCCCTTTTCTAAATGCATCAGTCTCTCTCTTTCTTGTTCAGCCCACCTTCTCTAAGCCTACACCTTGGCTGCTGGATGTTGCTGAGCAAAATTACACAGCCAAATACAAGTCCAGCCTCCGCTTTGTCTGCGATGCTTCTTCATCGCCCAGCCCCCACGGTGCTCACTTCAACCTTAACCTCGATCTCACTCTCCTTGGGCACCTGGCTTCCTGTTCTGTGAACCAGGAGTAACTTCTTCAACTCTTATCCCTTTCTACTTAAACCCTTACGCTTTTCAGACCTTACACCTTAAAGGGAAAGGAATTCCTCTACCCTTTCAAAATGATTCCATCTTCTTTGCTTTGTCTTCAGTTTTCTCTCTTGAGTGGTTCCTTTCCTTCAGCATGTAATCAAGCATCTCCCAGCATTCAAGGGTAAAAATACAACCACTCCATTTTATATCCTGTCCTCACCTCCTAACTTCCAGTTTCTTTCTAAACACACACCATTTAGCTTCCCCTCATCACTCCACTGAAACTCCTCTCCCTGAGGCCACTTAACTGGCAAATGTAATGCCTACTTTCCCATTTGTTTTTCTTGGTTGTCTATGCTGTGGATTTGGCATTTTTTTTAATCTGTCCTCTCAAAATCCATCTTCCTCTAGAACCGGATTCTTAAAATGGAATCTGTGGACCAATAGCATTAGTGTCACTTGGGAACTTTTTAGAAATGCTGAGTCTCAGGCTCCACCCCACACTTTCAAATCAGAGTCTGCATTTTAACAGGATCCCCAGGTGAATTGTATATAATTAAAGTTTGAGAAGTACTCCTCTGACATACTGATTTTTAGCCCCACTGCTACTAGACCAGTTCAAATTCACATCATCTGAACTCCAAGGTCAGCAACTTGGTAGTACCTTCTCTGACTCCCCAGGGCATTTCTAGTGCATCTTTCTCACAGTTCTGTGATAGTTAATGTGACATTAGGTTATACTTTTTTTCCTCTTTCTGTACTTATAACTTTCTTGAAGGCAGGGATTGTGTCCATTTGTTTGTATCTCTGTGGGAAAACATCATAGGTACCTAAATATTTGTGTAAAAGAATGAACAAAAAAAATGAGTGAATCTTTTATGGACAAATCACTTTCTCCTCCAGATCGTGTAAGTAACTTGCTGGTATTTATCACATAGGATTTGTTAGTTTGCCTATAAACCTTGCTGAGACTGAGCTCCTTCAGAGACTGTCTTATTTATCTTTATGTTCTCTGAGTCTGATATAGTATGCATATAATAATTGGTCATTAAAGCACATGTAATGAGTGGGTGAATAAGTGAATGAATACAGTTGTGATTCATTAGAGGAATGGTTTTCACTTTCGACTAAACATTAGATTCACTAGATTTCACTCCCAACAGCACATTGGATTCATATTATGTTCATATTAGATGCCTGGGTCTCACTCCCACAGATTCTGAATCATGTGATCTGCAGTGAACTTTATTTATTTTTTAAATTTGTTTTTATTGATTTTTTTAAGGAGAAAGAGAGAAACATCAATGTGAGAGAGATACATCAATTGGCTGTCTTCTGCACATGCCCTACTGGGGATCAAGCCCTCAACCCTGGCATGTGTCCTGACTAGGAATTGAACCAGGACCTCTCAGTCTATGGGATGATGTTCAATCCACTGAGCCACACTGGCCAGGCTACTTTTTAACTTTAAATTGAAGTACCATATACATACAGAATATACCTGAATAAACTATATTTCAAAGTGTATACATCATAAGCATACAGCTTGCTGAATTTTTACAAACCAAATATACCCGTACACCCATTACCCAGATCAAGAAGCTAAACTGATATTACCTAGAAGTCTCTCTTGCCCCATTCTGGTTACTTCCTCCCTTATCTCCTAATAGCAACCACTTTCCTAACTTCCAGAAACATACATTAATTTAGGGCAATAATACTTTATAAAAGTGCTCTAGGTAGTCTAATATGAATCCAGGGTTAAGAACCTTACTCCCCACCAGGCATACACTCCCTTGATTACTTCTAAAGTATAGAATAACATAAAAGTGGATTTGAAAGATTCTGGTGTCACCTCATTTCTTTTCTGCAGTCTAACCAGGGATAAGACATTCATATCATAAAATATTAAAATTAAAAAAATAAAAAAGACATATCAGCTAAAGTTAGGTTCAATCTTTGAAAAAGATAAGGTTGGTATAGTGGAAATTAAGTAATTTTAGAAAAAGGAAAATGGTATATGAGTATTTCTAACGATTTTAAAACATGTGTGCAGGTAAGGATTTAAATCAGTGTCTTTTAACCTTTTCTCTATATTTGAATTAACTGAGAACAGGTGGTTCCCCACCTGATCAAGTCAATCAGAATTTTTGAAGTTTTGAAAAGAACCCATTATTCTGATGTGCACTCAAGTTTGATAGAAAGTTTGGGGTAGTTGGAGTTTTCTTTTGG